CAAAATACAAAGAGAACCTAAAGGCTTAAAGCAAAATCTTAGTGATTGAACACATTTGGACGATTTGGGGAAAAGAAGAATACCATTGAACCCTTCAACTACGGCATGAATTAAATCCTTGGTAAGAAGCTCGTAAACGTGAGCATTTGAGCAGGTTTCATCGAACACATGATCTGCAAATGTGAAAACAAAAAAGAAAAGCTTAATTGAACAAAATCGACACTGATAACATGATAAATCGAAGATGAAATAGAAATGAAGATCCAGGTTTTTACCAAAAGCGTAAGAGACGCTGGAGATGGGAGTGTCGTGAGGCCTATGGAGGGAGATGCAGTTGTCCTCGACCTTCCAGTAGGTTCTGATGGAGGTATCTTGGGAAACCGCAGTCTCACTCTCACAGCAACGCAAATCTTCTCCATTTCTCAAGGTAAGACTCATTCCTCGTGAACCTAGGCACCTGGGTTCAACCCGAACTAGCGAGTTGGGTTCGTCGCCAACCCAGGCTCTTGGGTTCATCACGAACCTAGGCTCTTGGGTTTGCTTGGGGATGAAAGGGAAAAAAGAAAAAAGAAAAAAGAAAAAAAAAAAGGCCAAAGGAAGTGGAGAGTGACGTGGGGGGTGATGTGGAAGGTGTCATTAAGTTCATGTAAGCATCTTTTACACATTGGCATACCCACGTTAGCTGTTCCAGTTAAGTTAATGTGTCATGTGAGCAAAATTTAACAGAATGACTAAAAAAGGATCAGATTTATGAACAGTAAGGACCAAAAAAAGAATTTTTTCAGTATAAGGACTAAAAAGTGACTTTTTCCTATAGTAGAGGGACCAAAAAAAGTATTTAACCAACAATCAAATAATGAATAGTTGCATGTGCACTTTGATAAAACAGCGACTTGTTATTGAACAAGTCTAATTAACAAATGTCAACTACCTAAATAATTTAGTAGTCATTTTTTTCAATTAAAAATAAGAGATCCTGAATTTGATTCGCATGACATGTAGGTGGAGTGAAATAAAAAATTAGAAATGATTACCTTCTATTGTACAACCAAGATAAAAAAAAAAAAAAAATTAATGAACAAGTAGAGAGAGGCTGAAAGAGATTGTCTCTCCCTGAGGATGCGGCGTCCGGGTGTGTAGTATATACATAATCCTGGGACTGGGGAGTTTCAGTGGAATACACACTTGCCATATTCTTAAAAAAAGAGTGTAGAGAAAGGGAACACAAGAAGTTTTGCCAAACACACTTTAGCCTGTTTCTTGTACACCTAATTACGGTTTATACAACATGAACATCTCTTATTTGAGCATGTGATCCCTGGTTCAGTCTCAAATTTTTGTTGCACGATACACTGTTGAGGGCACATTCACAATTCATATAGTTTGTAATTTAATGAACAAAATTAAAAACGTCTGTATGAATGTGCATATGTTTAAGGATACCATGAATTTAAAAAATAAGTTGGATTCAAGATCATACAGAACGCAAGGAGCTTTGCAAAGAGGAAAAAAAAAATGAAAGAACTTGATATTTATTGTCTTCTGAATTTTTTCCCTTACAAGAACAGCAATGGGGGAATTGCTTCCCAGAAACTCAAGTAAAATGCATAGCATAATACATAAAAATGTTTACTAGAAACCAGAGGCTTTCCACATTCTGAACCCTAAAACATTTTGCACATGGACTCTCAGAGTTGTCGTCTCAATGTGCCTCTACTAACTGCATCACTCTGCGTTCTGTATATTATGAAGGGATTGAACCCTATATAGACACGAAACTAATCCGCAATCATCTTCACAATCTATGTGCTTTAACCACCAGGTGTGCTGTGTATTTGTACAACTTCACCCCGGAAAAGCCAGAAACAAAATGCTTGTGATCTTGTACGTGTAGACTAAATTTACCCAAAAAAATGCCAAATGCAATGTTGGACTGAAAGGAAAAATCAAGCCAGAACCATTTTATTTCGTGTGGTTTCTGATTTTGTTGTCCATCAGCTGCATATTACCTCCACGGAGAGTTTCTTCATGACACTAGGACAAGGATCTCCACCAAACATTTGTGGCGCTACAGTCACCGAGCAAAAGTTTTGCCCAACACAAAGCTGCAACAGCACATAGTGTTCAGAGTGAGTTCATTCGTGTGGATCCACCCAAATGCATTTAGACAGTAATATAAAAGACTTGCGAGCAGAAACTTATTTAGTTTTTCTACTAGAAAAGGAGATGGAATAAGCTAAGCAACTGAATCTTACCCTTTGGAAGGCGTCATAGGAGTGAAAAGCATGACAGCTACCTTGACGGTAGCTTCCACAGGTTCCTTCAGGTGTTCCAAAACTAGCAAACTTAACAGATGAGATTTTCTGCCCAGGGCCGCATTCTAAATGGACCTTTGGCCTGAGTGGTTTGTTGACTTTACCAGAGGCTTGCATCTGGTAATTCATAAGGTTAGGCTGCCACTCAAAGATATCAGCACATACACTGTCTACTTCTCTTCTAACCAAAGAAATCCCATTCGGGTCTCCCCCCCATTCCTCAAACACAACCAACAAATTACCGCTTGGTTTGAGCCATGAATGAGGAACATGATACCTAAACATAAATTGTGAACATTGAGTCAGTCAATGGTTCTGTATGGCAAAACAAACTACAATGTAGACTACTTTATGCTCTTACCATCTTTGAGAAGCCTCTCCACAATTACTTCTACATTTGTTCTCATTATATGTTCCAGCATAGTCACAGCTACCACAGGAACCAGATGCCTTGTATGCAGGCCAGTAGCGTCCTACGTTCTGCCCATTTATCCATATTTGACCTTTACCCATACTTCCCATGTCTAAAGCCACTGGGGAATTACCAGCTGGAGCGTTAAATGTTGTCTGCAAAAGAAAAAAAAAAATATATATATATATATATATATCAATATGCTGCTTAAAAGTATATCCAGATCCATTTTTTTTCGTAAATACTGAAAAAATCAAAATCATAAGTTTGAGTTTTTTCAACTAATGGTGTTGCAGAGAGAAACTGATTATCTACATGACACTCAATATTATTCATGATTCCATGCATTTTTGTAGGAAAAAGAATGAGTCTTCTTTAAAATGCTACAATTACTAAAACCAAATTTTCAGTAGAACAAATAGGGAAAACCTAAATGACTAACAATATTGATTAGCTAGTCATTTGCAGCACTCACTTTGTACCAGGTCAGTGGCTGCCTTCGGGCCACTAAGGACCCCTCAGCCCACTCAACTGAGGAAGCACCACTTAGTGAATGAAGATTCAAAGCTTCTCCTTTAAGACCAATCTGCAAATAGGTGAATTATTAAGTATGCAGCTAGTACAAATGAAATGAGATAAAATCTGTGCCAAGTTAAATGTCAAACCTTGTAGGACCATTTTTGCCATGAAAGGTCTCTCTTCCCCTCATTGAGACCGTTCAGTGTAACTGGGCCAAGAATACCAGTATTCCACGTCTCAAAATGTGGACCAACATTCTGCAGCCAAACCATGAACACCATAAGAAATGGTATGATAAAGTTCAGCACAAAGAATACAAATTGGATGTCTGTGGCTGCTTTTGTCCACAAGTGCACATGCATATTTAGTTGGAGAAAGAGAACAAACCGGGAGGCCAACAGCTATGCTTAGAAGTGAAATTGTGTTGATACCAGCTCTCAACTTCACACCTTGACTAAATGTTAGTTTGGGGAATTCTAGACTTCCATAGGCATTTCCTGCCAAATATAATTAAGGAAGAAAAAAAGAGAAACAAGTCAAGGGAGATGGAGAAAGTACAAATTCATTTTAAGGAAACAGGCAACATTACAAATATATATAATCTAGTTACCTACTACCTTACCTTATGTTGACTAAAAGCAAGATCAGTGGTTTACAAATTACTTCATTCTTCAGTTACTAACTCCTAAGTAAATTTTCTCTACACTTAACCCAAAAGAGGAAAATAACAAGTTCCAGGTACACATCTAATTATGAAAAAAGAGGCATAGGATAAGCAAGTTTTGTAGCCAAGCCGCAATACCAGGCATTATATATTATGATCCTTTTAATATTTCCTAATGACAAACTTCTGGAGGATGAAGGCACAAGTAACAAAATATAATGTCAACATTTTTTGGGCAAAAATAAATATGGAAGAAACAATGCTAAACCCACCTGCCAGTTGACCATTGACAAAAACGTGTAAAG